GCAGTGGAGTGAATGGTTAGCGTAGCATTGTCTTAGCATACAGACCAGGGAATAGCTATAGGAGTTCTGCACACCTCTGTTTTTATGGCAGCCTCGCTCTGTTGGTTAAGCGTGTTCCCGCCGCAGTGTCTGCTACCCCGGGCACCTCCATGTCCAAACGGCCTCGCGAGGAGGAGCAAGAGGGACAGGCGGACGCCGCGGAAACTACTCAGGAGGAATCCAGTGATGTGCCCCTGTCCAAGAAGGTTCGGATCATCCAGAGGGTTGGCCCAGAGCTCGAGGTGAGCTCCCCCCCCCCCCCGGGACATGGCCCTACCCAGTTTGTAGCCCAGCTATTTCCTGTATGGCTCCATGGCTGTCTGGTGCTCTTCTGCAGGAAGAGGCGATGGCAGAGGATGCTGCTGAGGGTGAGGTGCCAGGGGAGGCTCAGGAAGATCCCGATGCCAGTCAGGTAGGGGGTGTGGAGGCGATGGCGGCGTCTTGGCGGCGGCGTGGTCGGTGACTGACCTTGTGGGCGCATGCAGCTGCCAGCGGAGGAGGAGTACAGCCCCGGCCTGGATGATGGGGAAAGGGAGTCCGTGCCGCCATCGAGGGCCTGCCCCGCCGAGCCCGTGCCACAGGTCTCCGAGTCCCAGCTCAGCTCCCACGACTCGCCGGACGAGCAGCGGCCGCGCGAGGTCATCATCATCCACTCAGACTCTGACAGTGAGGAAGAGGAGGAGGAGGAAGAGGAGGGTGACCAGGTAGGCTTGATGTGGAAGCCGACCTGAAACGGCACTGCGTATCTGTCGTCTTTCTCCTTTTTTAAACCTTAGACCAGGGAGCCCCAGATCCAATCCATGCCCCCCCTACCAATAACACATGATCACAAAAGTAACTAGCAGCTAAGGACTTTGGGGGGGGGGGGGGGCGGGGTGGTGTTTCTTGTTGTGGGAATGGGTCTATTTACGTTGATTCTGTGGCTCCTCTGCAGCAGCTACCCCCCCACTCACCCCCGGTTACAAATGCCTGCTCTTCATGCTTTTGTATGACATGAGTCTTACTATGATTCTGTGTTGTTTATATATAAAATTGATTTCTGATTCTTCCACCCCCCATTCTTGTGGAGTATGAGGAGGAAGAGGAGGAGGAGGGGGATGAAGATGACGTGGCAGGCATTGGTGATGAGAGCAATGAGGGTAGCTGCAGCGGGGGTGCCAACGAGCCGTACGAGGGTGATGCAGAGGTGAGCTGATCAGACTGGGACCCGTGACTGCCGAAAACCATCACCATGGCGATTAGGGTCTCGGTGATCGACATCTTTGGTGGGAAGCAGACCTTCTGGGTCTATGGGGCAATGGAGTTGGGGATTGTGGGGAGGAGTGTTTTTCAGGTGTTGGCAGGGTGGTGGGCTGGGTCTTAAGTGTGGACATGGCTGCCCTCAGTGGCATTTTCAGGGCGTTTGTCGGGAGGAGTGTTTTTCAGTTGTTGGCAGGGTGGTGGGCTGGGTCTTAAGTGTGGACATGGCTGCCCTCAGTGGCATTTTCAGGGCGTTTGTCGGGAGGAGTGTTTTTCAGGTGTTGGCAGGGTGGTGGGCTGGGTCTTAAGTGTAGACATGGCTGCCCTCAGTGGCATTTTCAGGGCATTTGTATGAGGAAGCAGGTGTTGACAGCCGGTCTAAAAATAACACAAAACAAGAAACGCACATTCAGCAAATGTGTATAAAAAGCCTTTTGTTTGGCTGGCGAAGTTCAGTTTGCATGTTGTCAGAAACACCTGTCACCCTGTCATTTAAACAATTTAAACGATTCACAACAAAATGCCCATTGCAGGGGTGTCAAACTGCAGTTTGACACCCCTAACATATTGGATCTGATTGGTGTCTCGGGCGTCACATGGTGCTACGTGGACAAATGAGCGACGCCTTAAGGGTGCCAGCTCCATGTCACAGACTTGCATCACTTCCCATGAAGTGGTCTTATGGTCACGGCTGTGGGCGTCACCTGCCTTCCAGGCCGCCGAGGTTTCGGACCCAGCAACAGAGCAGGAGGAGAGCTTGGGGGCGTCCGACTCGAACCCGAAGCCGGCCGACTCCCAGACGAGCGGTAAGAGCGTCCGTTGCCCACAATCTTCTTACATTTTTTGTGCGGTCAAAAAAAAAAGCAGCCCCCCCCCCCCCCTTGCAATCTCTGGTTAGGTGGGGGCAACAGTAGCACCATGGAGGTGTTCCCTGCGGAACCCCCCCGTGAGCAGCAGCCAGCCCCCAGCACCACCACGCCTGATCGCCAGGCACCCCGGCCCCCTCAGTCACCACGGCGACCGCCCCACCCCCTGCCCCCCCGGCTCTACATTCAGCCCCCAGCCCAGGAGTTGGGACCTCCTCTAGGCCAGGTAACTGCATCCATCCTTCATCTCTGTAGCCAACATGCTGTTGTCCTTTTCGGTGTGCTAACCCCCCCGTTCCCCCTCCCCAGCGACAGACCACGGCCCCAAACCGCCGCCAGTCGGTGAGCCGCGGTCAGCTAACCCCCGGGATCAGCAGCATGGTAAGTGCTCGGGCCATCGGCACTGGCGGTTCCTGGGGAAACTCACACCCAACTCACCTATTTCTCCGTGCCCCCCCACAGCAAAACTTCTTTGACGACGACGACAGGATGGTTCCCAGCACGCCCACCCTGGTGGTGCCTCTTCGTACAGACGGGTTCGCTGAGGCCATCCAGTAAGCAAACTTCCTGCTTCATTACCTGCCACTATTTTTTTTTTTCTCCCCTCTGTTTCTTTAAGATTCTCCTGATTCTTTAAGAGTGCTGATCATGACCTTGCCGATTCCCCTCTGTTCCCAGTTCTCCCCAGGTGGCTGGGGTTTCCCGTTTCCGCTTCGGCCTGTCTGAAGACGTGCCCCAGTCTAGCTCCTCCAACTCTGACCTGAGTCAGCTAGCATCACAAGGAGGTGAAACCACTGGTCCACAAATCCTGACTCTGAAATTACTTTGTCTGCAGCCTGCTGTGTCAAAGTATATTTATTACTGCCAGTTACACCAGCTTGTGGGAAAACTCCCCACTGAAATGTAAGATGGTGTAGGAACATTGTGAGATCAAAGGGTTTTTAACTCATTGGTGTATAAGTTTAGTTGTGTGAAGTTAGGGAATCAGTCGCATTGATTTCCTCTATAGACAGGAAGTGCTTGTTAAGCGGCTGTGCATTCTGCGCTTAGCTTTTTTGCACTTTGGCCTGTCGAACTGTGCACTGAGAGAGATGTCACCTGGACCCAAATCCGCTCTGTAGGTCTAGGAATGTACGAAAGTCCCCTGTTCCTTGCAGCACACGAAGAGGACTCTGGGGGGCGTAGCGTCCCCACCACGCCGCTGCAGGTGGCTGCCCCAGGTGAGTTGGTTGTCAAACTGTCAGTCATCATGTTCTTATCCAGTGTTTCCCAATCCGGTCCTCAGGAACCCATCGCCGGTCCACATTTTTGCTCTCTCTGAGCTCCCTCCCAGCTCCTGCAAAAATGTGGACCGTCTGTGGGTCCCCGAGGGCCGGATTGGGAAACACTGATCTTATCAGTACCTTTAGATACAATGCCCATCCATTACAGAAGTTTACTGCCTTGCCTTGTCTTCCAAGCTGCACATGTGAGTGTGACTAAATATGGCTCATTTACAAGTACTTATGGTCTTTTCCTACAGGCTGGGAGCTTAGAACTGTGTGGTGTGGTGTGATTGGAGTATATTTCTGTCCAGGCTGACAGTAAATTATTTTATACAGATCGATGCTTAATTTGAGGACAGTCACCCCTGAGCAAAGCCGTGTGCTCTGCTGTTTTTCAGTGACCGTCTTCACGGAAAGCCACTCGTCAGACGCGGCAGAGAACGCCTCCCAGTCGGTCCCCATGGTGACCACGTCCACAGCCGGACCGTCCGGAGCGGAGGCGGTCGCCGGGGACGATGGCGACGAGGTCTTCATGGAGGCGGAGAGTGAGGGGTGAGCGGATTCCCTCCCCTGCAGGCTGATGGGTCTGGTGGGCGGCGCCATGCTTCCGGCTAAGTTAATATGCTGTTACTCCATCAGAACCGCCGGGCCCGAGGTGTCCCTGGAGAGCCAGGCCGAGATGGACTCGGCGCAACCCTCTGACGATGGCAACCTCCCATCCACCAGTCAGGAGCCCACCTCCAGCTCTGCCGGTACTTTCCATTCATTTACTTCATTTATGGGATTTGAACCTTCAGGACATGGAATCCTCCCCCTTGGACAGATACGCCATTATATATAAATGTATATGCATCTTCACCACAGCCTTCCTCTTAGTTACTGCTGCACTGTGTGTCCCGGATTAGCTGCATCAGGCCCTCGTATTCATTCAGATTTCATTTAGCCTTTTCACTCTCTGGCAGCTTCGTCTGGTTCTCTGCGCAAAGTACTGCGGTCAGATCTGATAGACCGAAAGTTTCCCTGGGTGGAGTCGAGTTGACATAAGCGGTGCGTGCTTGTGATGGGGCTGTGTCCAGGCTTACGGGCCCTACGTGAACTTCCGGCATTTGAAGGCCCCTGGGACCCTATTCTCCATGCCAGCATGGACCAGAACACCTTGGCTCTTCCTGTGTGGGAAGGAGCTTTGGTGCGGCAGCACGACCGCACCGCGTGTCTCTACTCACAGCACGCTTCCTGTTTTTTATTTAATTTCCCCCCCCCACCCCTCCCCCAATCTTTCCACATTCCAGACACAAGCAGCAGCGCCTGCGCCGGCGGCGGACAGCTCCGGCATTCCGGCCGTCCCGTGCCACAGCACCAGCTCCCTCCGCGACCCGCACCCCGAGGCAGGCAGCTTATCCGGAGAGGCGAGTGCCATCCTTCCTGCTTTCTCTGTATCCCTCTCCATTCTGTTCACTCACCTTCCGGGTATAGATCTCCACACTTTGTCCTCACTGACTCCAGCCTCTTGCCTGAGGGAATGACCATCTTCAGTCCTAAAGTCGGCTGATTTGCCCTCCGATTTGAGGCCATTAATTAGACGCCAGACGGATTTGAAAGCGTTAAGTTTATTGGAACAGGAGGCACATGAGAAAAAAAAACCCCCACAAACGTAGCCTTAGTGCCAGCATTGATCTGATTTTAATCTCGTATCTAGAAAAGTTCTTCTTGCAGCAATAAGGATTGCCAGTGCAGCATTCCAGCAACTATCCCATTCAAATGGCTGCTCTGTCCCACAGGCATGACCTATCCGCGAGGCGGATGGGGACAGTTCACCAGAGGAAATATGCGTTAACATCTCGGCTCTGCGCTGAAGAAGAACCACATCAGTCTAGAACTCCGATCGTGCTTGAAGCTTTCATTACAGATCTTTTGTTTGTTGTATTTTTTTTTATCAGCATAATTATGCTTAAAGCATTGGTTTTTTTTTTTTTCTTTTTCTTTTTGTCTGCGTAATCCTTACGAAGCAGATGAAGCCAAGTTTAATTTTATTAATAAAAACTGAGAATGGTGGGATGCAGCTGTTTCTTCTGGTCATTCTTCAGCGCCATCTACAGACATCTCAGCCAGTGGCGTTCCGTGTTCTTGGCACCACGGGGCAGAGGAGAGACCGGTGCCAGCCGATCTCCGACGACTTTAATGTTGTGGTACTTGTCTGGAAAGCATGTGCATTTCATGGGTTAAAATGTGGCTTCATGGCATAATGATGACCTCTACAAATAACAGAGTCCCCCAGTGCTGATAGACCAATCAGATCTCTTTGAATCCAATGCCAATATCGGTAATGGGATACCTTTTGCATCTGGTTTCTTACCATTAGAGAAGATACAGTAGTCGTATCCCTCAGATTTGCGTGGATTAGGTGTGGACACAGCGGTGGTCACGGGGGACGGGAATCCTTTCCATGTCAGTTTTATGTTGATCTCATTACCCAGGCCGATCTCTGTTGGCAGTAAGCAGTTACCCTTCTGTTGACGGCGCTTATTAACATGCAGCCCTGTTGCTTATTTTTATGGTGATGGCAGCACAGATGCTTACAGGGTTACGGTGGCCCATGTCACGATACTTCAACTTTACGATGGATAAATGCTGTTCATTTTCAGTACATTATTTAATGAATATTCAACACTTTATAAATTAGGCTTTGTGTTAATGATTTTGCCCAACTCGTGTATTGTAAATGTTCTAAGCATGTTTAAGGCTGGCTAGGCTAGGCTAAGCGAGCCTAGGCTATGGTGTTTGTTAGGTTAGGTGTACTCTATTATAATGCACTTGTGCCTTATGATAGGTTTTCGGAACGTAACCCTGTCGTAACCGGGGCAGAGGCTGTAATTTGTTTGTTCCCTGTCAGTACTGGCCTCTCATCAGTTGTGTTTATTCCCAGTCAGTCCTCTGAGTGCCTTTAATTATGTGTTTTAATGTGGCAGGGCATTCAGCCAAAGAAACAGAGGAGGCTTTTTAACACCCTTAAACACTTTTACAGAAGTGATTGTGCTTTAGCGTCCTGCTCCAGGATGTGCGACACGCTGGCTTTGAACTGGCTGCCTTTTCCTTGTGTGTGTGTGGTCCCACACCCAGGCACCCGCACGTATCTCATGTCGCACCTGCTTCTCCTGCGGGGGACTTTTCGCCACTGTAGGTGGGGAACTTCTTTCCACAGGTAGGCATGGCTCCAGCTTCATAGGAGTATCTCTGTACGAGGCCCTCTACAGGAAAGCACAAGCCGTGCGTTGAGCGAGTGCTTCCCACGATAGTGATGTGAAGTACAGGCAAACTGAAAGATGTAACCTTTTTTGAAGAAATATATGGACTCTGGCCTCCTCCTGGTGGCCGGCACAGACAGAGCTGCCGTAATCTTCCCAGACAGGCCGTTAAATTCAACAGAAAGGGTCTTGGGGTAACCTGGATCCATTACACCATTTTCAAACCTCCAGTAATTGTTCCCCTGTGGTACACAGCCAAAATGGAAAGTTCATGTTTGTAGTATCCGGTCTGCTAAAATAATAGTCCAGATTTGGCACACATCCAACTCAGTAAATGTTACTGGTTGCTATAAGACAAGCTCTCTTGCTGAGAGGACTTTGTGTAACTCGTACTCCGCTAACAGGATAATACAGGTGTCTAAGAACATGCTGTGTTTGCTGCACAGTTTACAGATATTTTAATAAGTTGGCTCAAATTCCTGGGAGCAATAAATGATCTTTTCCCACGTTAGGGTAGATTAGGCCCTGTACCTTGATGATATAGGTCTGGCCTTGGCAATTGGAGCGGGTGAAGACTGCATCAATAGGTGAGGGGACCCCCCACACTTCTGTGATCCTGCGAGCAGGACTGGGTGTAAAGTTAACATCTAGAGTCCAGAAGAGGTGACCTGTAGGTGAAGAGATGGTGGAAGGTAGAAGAACCACCCAACAAACAGAAGAGCAAGGTTAATGTTGCAGGACTGTTGTGTACTGTAAAAATGGCTGTATTCTACTGAATGCTTTAAAACCAATTAAATGATGCTGAATGAATCATGAAATATGTCACTTTTTGGGGAGAAGGGAATTTGTAAAGGATGGACATTTATACCTCTGAAGACAACCATAGTTCCATTGAGTAGAACGGTCACTCCATTAATGGGCTGGCCATTACAGAGGTCTGTCTCGTTGGCGTCGTCTGTGCAGAGTTAGACACGGGTAGGAAAACAGTTAACAGACCAAGAAATGATACTCGTGGGCCTGAAAAACCTCAAAAATCAAGCTGTTAGTTGTCAAGAAGATCAATAGTTTCAAGCTTTGCTTGAAATGCCCTTACTTGCAAGATAGCCATCGGGGTTACCGGACGCAAGGGCTTCGGCGACATCTGCTAGTGTGCCGGTTCGCTCTGGGTTTTTAGCTGTTTTGGAAGCGGAGACTCTGACTTCCAGAGAGACGGTGGCGGGGGGCTTCCCTGAGGTGGAGTCAGGGCCAAAGGGGCCCACTGCTGGGCTGGATGGAGCCAGCTGATGGTCTGTGTCTCCGATGATCACAGCAATTGGCTGAAGACCAGCCGGCAATGTTGCTGGGGCAGCAGCTCCTAGTTCTGTGGTGGAGACTCCTAGCATTAATTCTAACAAAATAGCAGTCGATAAACTTAAAGGACTAGACAGGGATACTCAACGGTATAGAAATATTTAAAGTAATATTCTGGAACATGACAGGTAACTTGTTTTTAACTGCTTAGCCTGAGCTACTCGGCTGTCTGCTAAATGTTTTGGCTGCTGTATGATGTGTCACCTGGTACTGCTGGATCCGAACCGTGAATGGCTCCATCATGTGAAGGTGACACTTCCTGTACCACAACCCGTATGGGCTCGTACCCAACTGTATTCTTTGGGCCCAGGGGAGCCACAAGAACCTTGATGGGTGGGACTGGTGTTTCTGCAATTGAATCACACACAGTTTGTAATATCAGCTATGGCTGAGGGATTTGTTTGAGGGGAGCGAGCAAAGACAAGATGGGCAGTAGCATAACCCACTGAGGAACACAGACCCACCCTCAGCTGTTTCTTCTGGTTGCTGGATAGGAGCAGCAAGGGAGTTTGGAAACTCATTCACAAACTCCTCTGAAAATACAGAAAAGATTAAATACTCATATGAGCTTTCTGATGGATGTGCCAGCCGGATGTGTTTCTACAAAAAAAGATAGCTCTTCAGCATTAACTGACTAAGGTTGCTAGTCATTGTCTATCTATCTTAGGTCCGCTATCCTCCAAAGTTGACATGCTCTGTCACGTAAAACGTGTTGGGCAGCTTCTAAGTCTTCAAATCCAATTATTTATACAGCAGTCTGGGTTTTCATCCTGTTTATTGTCTGTAGGCTTCACAAACTGCAGAGTGAACTAACCTGTGATCATTTCCTCACTCTCACTGGTAGGTGTTAGAGGTGCCTCAAGTTTCATATCTGGCTTCTTCACTGGCTTGTTCTTAGGAGGTTCTTAAGAGAGGGTATTCAATAAGGTCAGATCTCTGGCTCTCAGACCCAACAATGATGGATCATGAACATATCATGACAGAAATATGTGTCGTGGGTTGAAAATAATAAATTTTTAATGTTTCGTTGCACTGGTGTGCCTCGATTTTACTGTCATCTTTCTGTGAATTAGCTATCTGCCTCATAACGGGATTTGTTCCACTGGTTGCTTTGGCTGTAATGAAATAGACAAGTGTTCAAAGATCCCTACGAGCCGCCTGAACAGATGGCTAAGGTGCTTACCCGCATTGCACTGAGTCTGGAAGTCAGGGCAGCACTGGTTGTAGAGGACACAGTTGGGATCACAGTCACACTGTTGACCGCGCTTGAAGGGCTCACCGCATCGTCCTACACAAGAGCCACCTGCGGAGATGACACATCCCATCACCAGCACATCGGCGTTTCTTATATGGGCACATCATAGCTTTAACCTCATAGCATCAATGAATCGGTAACCCTTTACTTGGGGGACACAAATACTTAGCAGTAAGTCAGTTACTACTGGAGTACAAATCATAAATAATATAGTAGCTATTTGACATAAAAGATGCATCATGAGTCATTAATGATGAACAAACAGATCAGCATTTCACTAGTGTTATTCATTACTTGTTACTTCTGAAGTACAGTGGTACCTCGGTTCTCGAACTCACTAGAACTCGAATTTCTTGAAAGTTGAACAAACCAGTTTCACCTAGAACTCGATCTGAATATCAGAAGTCGAACCGTGAACACTGACCTAATATAAATTGTACGCGCCAGGAAATGAGTCATACTACAATGCAATTCTTACTTGAATGCCTTCTTCACAGACTGGACGATTAACCAAATAAAGCAGCGCAACATTATAGTAACTAACAATAAATTAACCACTAACTTACGTGTACTATTAGAGCATTTATTTAAACTTTATTTTACCAGGTAAATTAACTGAAAACCAGTTCTCACTGCTTTACGTGATATTCAGGAGAAATAGCAGATAACGCATCGGAGATACGGAACTGCCTGGGATACAAACGTCATGCGTGTAACTAAACTCTTCAGCCAATAAGGGCAAAGGTGTGTCGTCACGGAGGCGGTTCCAGTTTTTGCAGCCGGGTGAGAGGTCGCAATGCATCTAACCATAATGCATTGCGTCAGGATCAGAAATTCAGAATTCAGAATGCGTTGCTTTAAGCCAGCGCTGTAAGCAAGTCGAACGCACCCAATGACCGGACTGGGGAAACAAACTGAAACGCAGACTTAATACAGAGGACTAATGACAACAACCAGAAACAGCTGATCACATGGGGATCCCACACGAGGTTAACGAGGGGGCATGGCACACGGAAGGAGCGGACGATCGGGGCAGGACAGGGGTAACGTTGGGATAAGATCTTGTTTTATCCTGTTCATTTTGCTCTTGTTTTATTCTGTTCATTTTGCTCTTCTTGTTTTATCCTGTTCATTTTGTGTTTAAATGCTAAAAAAAAGAAAACATATTTAGGTGTAATTTTGGGGGGCCGGGAACCAATTAATTGGTTTTCCATTATTTCTTATGGGAAAAATTCGATCAGAACTCGAACTTTTTAGGATTCGATCCGGAGTCCGGAACAGATTGAGTTCGAGAACCGAGGTACCACTGTATTTCCTTCAGTAGTTCACAAAAAAGTAACAGACATATCAACAAATACAGTAATTGCTTGAGATTAGATGTTACGATTGAATAATGATGAAAGAATATGAAATTTGTATTTAATTAAGGCTTAGTTTGTGGTTCATTAATACATAAGTAATAGCATAATACTACATTATTTGTGCTCCCTCAAGTAGTCACGAATTCAGACAAAAAAAAACTACTGAAGGGACAAGTAATGAATTACACGTGTAAACCTGATCACGTGTTTGTTCATCATTAATCGATGCACGTTTTATCTCAAGTAGCTACTATATTTGTTAATGATTTGTTCATGATTTGTACTTCAGTAGTACCTGAGTTACTACTAAGTGTTTATGCCCCCTCAAGTAAAATGTTACCAATAAATTTTACTCCAAAAACTATGTCATTTATGCTAGGAGACCCATAGAATACATTACTACATTATTTGGTCCAAAAGAGTTTGCTAAGGTTTGGATGGAAATTAAGAGATTCCCTACTTGTGGTGCATGTAGACTCAAAATCTTCACAGCACTCATTATGGAACAGACAACTGTAGTCGCAATGGCAGACCCGGCCCCTTGAGAATGGCTCTCCACAGCGACCTCTGCAAGTTGCTGGTGAAAATAAATGCAGGTTCAAGTACACAACAATTTTTAATTAATCAAAAGAACAGTTAAAAATGATCTCTGCCCAAATAGTTGTTTGATACCGTTTGGCATCCTGCAACACATTGCTATAGCTTTGAAAACACTGATATCCAATAAACTGTTCCTAGGTATATTACCTTGAGCAGCACAGAATGGAAGAAGAAACACCGCCAACAATCCAGCAAGTACAGATGGAGAAGTCATGGTGTGTCTTTAGCTAAAGGCTGAAACACACCCGATGATCAATGCACTCGAGTCAGATGGAGGATATAAGTGAAACTTAATTGCTAAATACATAACGTGCAAATATTTCCTATAGCGCTTATGCTAGAATAAGACATAATATCATAACAGTCTACAGTACTAATGAAGCAGAGGTTTACCTTAATAATCAGAGATCTCCTGAGACTTTACTCAAGTCTGTCTGCTTTTGTCTTGGCTTTTATGCTGTGTGAAAAGGGCTGGGTTTGGCGTAACTGTGTAGGTTGCCGAATTAGCAGAGTCCAATTAAACTACAAACGACGCATCGCCTGGAAGGGGCAGAATCTTATGCTAGATGTTTCAGACTGCATGAGAGTTCAGGACTGGAAGATATTCAACACTGGTTGCCGTGACCTTTTTAAATATCTGACACAAAGTGCTCCATTGTTGTCAGACCTCAAATCTACAAAATTACATTTTCATTTCAGTGGGACTCTTTCAGCTAATAGATTTATTATTGCAGGCAAAAAAATCATAACCTCGCAAAATTATGTTTGACTTTTTCCAAAATGATTCACAGGTCAGTCAGACCACAAGCCAGATTCAGGACCTCTTTAACAATTTTAAATAATTTTAAACCAACATCTGAAATTTTTATTGGCATTACACAACAAAGCAGCCAAACAGCTAACCCATTTTGGTGTACTGGTACCTTGTAACATTAGATGAATTTCTGGTTGCTTCATATGCAGTAACCTTCTTTGCAGTCCTGTAAGATAGGCCTTGCTGACTTATGAGATAATTTAAGCCCAGATTGGCAGATATGTCAGTGACAACAGGCAAGTGTACTTTCAGCAGACATATTGTGGGAATTGTTCTTCTGTTAATTCAAGTAAAAAATTTATATAGCACCTTTCACAGCAAAGTCAAAAACGGGGAAAGGGGAAGACAAAGAAATTAATCAGATGAC